TCTATATTCCTCATCTACAAATCCTCTGTATAAAAAAGTATGTGACATATAATTCTCAAGATTATCTCTACAGATTATGATCAAGTTGGGGCATGCTGCAAGTGCTTTCTCACGTTCAATCTTACTAATATCACGATTAGTGAAAAGGATAAATCCTATCGATTCGAAAATTCTAGCATTATTGAATTTTTCCATTGCATTATTATACCATCTGATCACCTCTGATGAAAATATTTTGCCCTTCGTTTTTGGCGCGGAGTGCTTTGTTTGCTTTAATAATCCAATATATTTGGATCCCGACCTGCGGCTGGAATGAGAATCGATCGCAGGATTTCCAGTATGGCAAAGAAAGACCACGGGCGACAGAATATAAAGGTTATGTCCATACATTTGCGAATGTATTCCTGTCCAATCAACCGTCCCAGTTCTTGGAACGCATTGAACAGCTTCTTGTTCAACTAACATTTGTTCCCATGGCTCAATTTTCCATTTCAAAACATTTGCATTCGCGTATGCATGAGGAAATTGCTCTTTAATTGTAGTACCTCTTCCAGCCCTTAAAGTCTCCAAATACGCTTCCAATCTCTCAAAATCCTGCCAGGTCCACCTTCGACAAGGAAAGGTAAGGAGATCACAAGGTAATAATGCAACTTCGTTATTTAATTTCCATAAAAGGATATACGGCATTGTTATTACAAATTGATCGTTTGACAACGGACGATAATGGAAAATTCCATAGCGATCAAGGTCAGTATAAGTTACTTCGGTTTCTGGAAGTTGAGTACCATCATAAATTGACGTTCCTGTAATGATACATCTTATAAGCTCCTTTAGAGCTGATTTCGGAAAAGTTGTTAAATTCTGTTGTCCTATAAATGAAGATGTTCATTAGACATTGAAAAGCTTTAATAGCAAAGTAAAAGAGCACTACCTTGTGGAGTAACAATGCTATAACACTCCGAAACTCTATTGACCATCTGCGATCCTAAATTATCAACATCTCGTTCTTCCAAAGGTTTCGTAAAATCGTTCATACGTCGCAAATCCATGAGTAATCGAGCAACTCCACCAATATCGGATATTAAAATACGTAGTTTGAAAGAAGATTGCTCCAAGACTTCCTTTGAAATTCCCAACACACGGATAGAAGCATCGAATGATAGTGGTGGTGTTGACAGAACTTTTGCAGAATGCCGACTTCCAATAATTGTCTTTTTAACATCTCCACCAAAGGTCCCAGATAAAATAGGAACAAGAACAACATCCTGCTCAGCAGCAATACTTGTTCCAAAAGACGAGTGGTTATAATTACCAAGCTTCTTAATAACATTGAGCCGGGGATTAGATAATTGCTCCATTTCGGTTTGGTAGTCATCTTTCCAGACAACAACGCATAAAGTTCCCTCTATGCTCTTCCATTTTCTGTAATGATTGACAATCAAAGTAAGCACCTCAGAAACATTGTCAAAAGCTTTTAATGACTCTTCGCCATGGTTGCACAATATCGTTTTAATAAATTCAGACAGTTCTAATTTTCTTCTGCCAAAGTATACAGTAGCCAGAGATAATCCGAGCCATTGATCATCTTTGCACAAATTTTGGTCAAATGAGTGAAATGCATTATTCAAATCTAGGACAAGAACATTTTTATACTCTTTGATCATTTTCATACAAAATTGAGTTACCAACTCGGTTTTCCCAATTCCACACCCACCAAAACATAAACCAAAGTAAGTATCCTGAGATTGATTCGACATTCGTCCTTCATG